TAATAATAATAATAAATAATATTAATAATAGTAGTGATATAAAGTACACAGAGTTGTACTTAGCTAATGTTGTGGGGGTGTAGGCCTCAGGGGTAGGATGGTAGATAAATCCCTCTTGAGATGTCAGCCATGGAAAAGGGGAGGAGGAGGGAGAAGGAGAAGAAGGTCCATCCCCAGCAAACTCCCCAATTCATAGTGCATGTGATGTTTATGGCATGGAATAGCATTACATGGTTGGCCTGGGGTCAACTCCCCTGGCTTTCTGCTTCCCCCAGCCTCTGCCCCTGGTTATCTCAAGGCCACTGAGGACCTTGAGCATCACAAACCAGCATCAGCTGAAACCATAACAAAGTCTTATCGCTGTGTTCCCATTAAATAGAGTTGTAGTCCTTACAAAATTGCACTTTTCCTCACCAGAGAACTGACTCTCATTCTGTCCCAGTAAACCATGACACACAGCCTGGTGTGCCTCAACATGACACCGGCGGCACTAAAGCCTTGCCAGGTACCGGTGATGGCAGTGATTCATAAATCACAAAAATGTGTGGTGTGCAGCCAGAAAACCAGTATCGATCACCAGTGTGTAAAAGCCTCACTTACTTTGGATAGATGTTGTGTACCCACGAGAGGAGGAGGTAAATATCCTTGTCCTCCAGATGAGACTCGGCACTTTTCTTCGCCTGGGAGGCAAAATAATTGTGGTAGAGCTCTGCGTATGTGCCGAAGACATCAAACTCAGGAGGATAAAGCTGTTTAATGTTCCTTACAACTACCGTCAAATCTTCTTTCATCGTCTTCCCCATGTGCAGGAGGTTCTGGCCGACCGTAGAGAGGTTCTCAGTCCTAGGAGTACGGCTCGTGTCCCTCATTCGAGTCTCCACCGACTCCTCCACCGTAGCCATCCAAAGCTCTTTCCATTTCCGAGGTCTAAACTGCGTGGTTTGGTCCAGTGGTGTAACGGAGGTGTAATTCTGATCCTCTTTCTCCTGCTCCTTCAGCGCCTCCACGGCCTGCAGCAGCAGCTCGGGGTTGGTTTTGGCCAGGGGTACGGAGTCTTTCAAGATGCTGAAAACTTTGTGCTTCAGCACTTCGTGGAGCGACTCGACGTCCTGCGGGCTGGCGTTCAGGCCCTCCTCGCTGCCGCTGCTGGACACGCTCTTCTCCAGGACACTCAGGTGCTGGGCGGCCTCGCAAAGCTTCTGCTCTTCAAGGAGATCCATGATTTGCTTGACTGGCGGAAGAAGAACAGCCTTTCTTTACCCAATAGCAAAGATTTCCGTTTCTATTTTATATAAAGTCATGTAATACATATTTATTACTATTTCTATAATTTTATATATTATTTGATTTTGTAATTTCTAGAATCTCAGACTCCTTCAGAAAATCTTCCTGCTTATATAAAGATCAGATTATTTCCAGCCTGCCTCTAACTGGGGCAATGGAAATTCGAATACCTAGCACCAGTACATTGCATATTGTCAGATATTCACAACATTTTTCCAAAATTGAGATTTGTGGGGCGTTTAATTTCATTATTTATTATCTCCCTTCCCATTCCTGTGACCTCAAGTGAGAAGCGCGGCTTTAGAAAGAAAACACAGGCGGAAAGCTGAGCTAAATAAGACGTGCTAGAGGAAATACCACGTGGGCTGTCCAGAAATAGGTTGGCACAATCTGACCTGTGAAATTGTTTTGGAGGACACATTTAGCGGGCAGGATAAACACAACTGAGCTGACCTACTCGATACGGCGCAATCTGGGAAACTGATAAAGTGGAGACGTTATATTGTGTAAATAAATGTTGTCGGGCACGTAAGGTTTGTATGGAAAACCCTGGGTGGAGAAGGCTTGCCTCTCACTCCATGTTCTCCTGGCAGTGCCCTGTTGGCATCTGCTGATGACAGAAAATTCAGGGATATTATCTAAACTGAGGGCAGGAACAACGGGACAACTTGATTAGTAAATGGGCTGAAATTTAATAGCACAAAGCATACGATGCAAATTCAATAGAACAAAAGTCACTGAGCAACAAATGGGATTTTCTGCTGCAAGTTGAATCAGCTGGAGATGGAGCAGGAAGAGAGATGCCTGGAGAAATCATTGCTGTGAGAGGACGGTGAAAACGCCACATATGACCCTGGGATGTAGCAAATGAGGGGCCTGTTTGCAGTGGACTTGGTTCATTTAACTGGGCAAATTCAAGGCCGAGAGGGACAACAACCACTGAGGGAAAACACTGACACATGGAGAAAGAGAAGCCAACTCACCAGGTAAAGGCTCACCTGGAAAGGAGGTGATTTGTACTAAAACAGGGAGACTTTGTAAGAGTTCCCGAGTAAAGGAGACAGGACTAAAAAATGAACTTATTTTAAGGTACAGCTTGCTAAGTTTATAAAAATCACAGAGTCATTGAGGTTGGAAGAGACCTCTGAGATCATCCAGTCCAATGCCAACCCAACCCCACCATGACCATAAACCACGTCCCCAAGGGGACACTTATGAACCACATGAGGAGATGTGTCACCTGAGCCTTGGAAGGGCCAAGGGACAGTTTCTTCTCCAGTTTTGGGTTTCTCTAAGTGGGTATTTCTCTACCTCTCCAAGCTCCCTGCAGGGATGGTGCCCATGAGCTGTATATTCAGATATCAGCCCCGGGAAAGACCTCGCTGCACCCTTTGGTGCGCTTGTTCCCCAAGGGGACACCTTGTGCAGCCCCTCTAGAGACAACCACAGCCTATGGGGCGCTGCAGGGACGATGGGGGAGCACTCACCACTGGGTGGCTTGGTCTTCTTCATCTTCTTCAGGGCGCTCGCCAGGATCCCCTTTATTCCTTTCTTCCCCTTTTCGGGGCTGTCCCCGGCAGAGGCGCAGCTCCCGTTGCTGGTGATGGAGGACGCCCGTGAGGGTCTGCAGGCAGCCTCAGGCCTTTCACTCATCTTCTCCTGGAACCTGGACCAGATCTCACCTCCAGCAGGTTCAGGATAGGCAGGGACTTGTTCCGCTGCTGATGCTGAAGGGTCTTCAAGCTGCCCGTTTACTCCAATGCAACCCTCTGATCCATTGCGCATCCCAATAGGACCACTTTGGAAAAAAGGTAACATTTTCATCATTTTCCTTCTAGCCTGCAAATTTCAGAGAGAACTGGTCAGGTTATAACAGTCTGCAGAAAAAAATTACCATGGCGCAACGTGGCGACGTGTATTCCCATTAAATATATATATATTTATAAATCTGTAATGAGCTGTCCCTGTGTGGGCAGTGTGAGGATGGAAGCAGCCTTCTGGTCTAATAAATAACTTAGAGAAAATCAATAAGTGACTTTAGGGGTGATTCAGGTGCCTTGGTTTGAGACCTTGAGCTTATCTGGATGCAGGAGAGCAGGGCTTTGCCACAGGATGCTGTGGGGTTACAGGCGTGAGCACAGATGCTGCACACAAATGATAAGGGTGGGTGGGACAAGCGTCCTGTGCCTATTCAAAGCAGCCACAAAACTTTTATATGGCATTGGGATCAATTCCAACAGGATGGGACGAGAGGAAATGGCCTCAAGTTGTGCCAGGGCAGGGTTAGATTGGATATGGGGAAAATTTCTTCATG